TTTTTTTTTTCATTTTTAAGTTGAATGGTTTTTTTTTGTTTTGCTAAACTTCAGTTGAATGAGTTTTTTTTATTCTAACGTCCAATTTATAACAAATTATTTTGAATATATAACATAATAATTTATAATAATATTATTTTATTAAAAAAAAACATGGTGTCTGGCCGGTCTGACCGGTCGGACCGGTCACGACCGGCCGTCGGGGCCGGACGCCATTTGGGCCGTCCGGTTTCGGCGGCCGGAGAACAATATTTTTTTTTTTTTACTTTTTGGAAAAAAATGGCAGAGGCAAAAATGTCCAAGAAGAGCGATAAATAGTAATAGGGGAACGGTGAATAGTAATCCCATTTTCTATTCGGTAAAATTGAAATGTCTAATCTCTTTTATAATGAATTCACTATTGTCTGACCATTGAATTTTTAGTAAGACCAGTCAACTGAAGAATTAGAAAGAAGGTCAACCATATAATGGGACTCTCAATTTATAGTATAATGGAGTCACTAATTACATGACACCTATCTAGCCATAAAAATAAAATTAGAAGCAAATTTCACCGTGAGTATCCTTTAGTAAGTTGTGGGATGAAAAATAAGTTTTTTTTTTAAAGGAAAGCGTGTAAAAGAAAATGTATTTATATATTGGGGGTGTAAAATATGTCAACCTTTATAATTTACCCATAAAAAAATAAGTGGATAGTCCTCCCGTATCTGCCCGACAGTCGACGAGTAAGGGCATGATTGTATATAATTTCAACAGTAAATATCTCACTTAAAATTCAAATTTAACTCAATCTTAACTAAACTCTACTATCTTCAATATTATCAATATAATTAAATAATATCAACCAATCATTATTACACATCACATCAACTTTAATTCACTATTCATTCACTCACATAATTTTAACTAACTATCACTTCCAATCATTTTCTCCTACTTTTACATCAAATCAACTTTAATTATTTTAATTTAAATATTATTTTAATATATCTACTAACAACTAACCATACTACTTTTTCAAAACTTAACTATAGTTAAAAAAAAACTAGTTTTTTACTAGTTGAATTCATATCCAATCACCCCCTAACCAATTAGATCATCTCTCATATCCTTTTTATTGCTCTATTTTGTTACCACATGACACAAATAATTTTTTATGACATAAAAAATGTCAAAAATGTTATTATTTATTCAATTTCTCTCTCTATTCCAATCAATTATAATTTTACACGTCACAAAGATACTGCAATTAACATTAATAGTTGAAGACACAATTTTTTTAATTTTCTAAAATGGAAATTGTTTTATTGGAGATGTCTTGTAAGGGCTCAACGTGAAAGGCTGTGGGTGTGGCGGGAAACCGAAGTGGAGAATCACAGAGCCCCAAAAATGGGATCGGAGGCGCCGCCGCTACCGAAATGGGCGTCGAAGCCTTGCATAATGGGCATCGACGAAGCTGGGCGCGGCCCTGTTTTAGGTACATACGCACACTCCAATTCTTCTTCATCTACCTCTCGCTTTTCACTGAACATGAAAATATACTAAAATCCCTCTCTTTTACTGCCAGGACCCATGGTGTATGGCTGTCTCTACTGCCCGCTCTCCTACCAGAAAGCATTATCCACATTGAATTTCGCAGGTTTATAGCTTACTGTTTTTTTATTTCCCCTTTCTGAAGCTGGGTTTGTCTGTTTCTGTATTTCCAATGGAGTTAGCTTACTATGCGTTTTTCCAGCAAGTATCACGTATTTGCTTCTAATTTTGACAGCCATGGCACTTTCATCGCATTTTAAGTGGAAGAAGGAAGCCAATTTTAAGTTTTAGGTCTGGAGTATCCTCTTTCCATTGAAAAGCTCTTTTAAAAGTTCTAACAGAAGTAAGAATTAAAGAGCCATTTTTTTGCCAGTTTAAATGGTTGAACTCTGCTCCTTGATTCATACTGATGCATAAGAAAACCTACAACAGCTATATAGAATATAAATCAACAGTTTGCATGCTGGTTTATTGTGTGGAGATATAATGCAATGTTGTTCAATACCAGGATACTTTTTTTTTTTTTATGANCCAATTTCATGTATGGGGTGAATGGGCATAAAACTGGTGCCTTTTTCTCGGAGACTTATTTTCATTATCCCTGTGAATTCCTTTTTGAGGCAATAGCTATAGCAGTACCTTAGGGCAACAAAATAGCTGTTATACTGTGGTATAAGTTTTTTGATTTCAATGAAACCGGCGGGAATGCAAAGATTCTCATTATCCACTGGCCGATCACGCTACATACTAAGCGTTACAGCTAGGAAGCATGTTTAGTTAATGAAATATTCACGGAATAATCTTGGTATAATGCTAATAGCAAACTATTTTGGATTGCTTATCTTGTTCCTGTAAATCTTCTTCCTTCCTTCCAACTGAAATAATCAAAGATCCGTGTTCTGCTTAAACTTAACTCAGTCCGTGACTTAATTGCAATGCTATGTGGATATATGCAGGGGTTGAGGGTGGGTGGGCAAGGCAGGATATAGGGACTGCCTGTCCACTTCCATTCTTAATCTGTTTTATCATCTTCAAAGCTTGATTAAATATAAAAGAATTTTAATACAATCATTATTTTGTTCTTTATGTAATTAAGACACCTCTTGTACATTGAGGTTTTTATTAATTTTCTCTATTTTTCTTATTATTCTTTTGCTATTTGCACAATTTAGTTTAATTGTATTTCATTACCTAGTCAAATTCCTGAGTTTTTCTATTATTAATGTTACTTGATTTAGAAGAAACTCACCTACATACAGATGGGGAAATTTGGAGCCAAGGAATATAAATATGGAAAGCTAATGTCAAATGCTAACTACAAGATAAAAAAATATTAAATAACTCCTATTGATGGATGTCAGGATGTTGTAATTTTAAGTTGTGCACTAAATGTTGGAAGCATTCGACTGTCTCATTGTGAAACTGATACTATATATTTTTGTTGTTTTTTGCTTTGTTGTTTGTCATTAATCAAATATGAAAGGAAAATAAATTCTTGTCAGACTAAGAACAAAAGAAAATTAATTCTTGCTTCAGAAACTCATATTTTTTAACAGTGGTAGACAGGAAAGCAGATTTCTAGTCCTCTCAAATGCATATCATGTTGGGACCAAACTGAGGATTGACAGGAGATATATTTTTCCCTAGTTTTTACTAATATCAGAAAAAGGTTGCTGAACATTTTATTATTGAATTAATTGGATGAATTAATGAAAAAGAAATGTCTAGCTCAATTTTAGGTCACAAATAACTAGTTGAGTACAATGATCGTTGTTATTATTTCATTGAGAACTTTGACGTTAGAGTTTGGTAATCCCGTGTAATTTATGTCCAATTTAAGTAATGTGGTTGTGTTCTCACTTTTTATTTTCTATTTGTTCTAATTCTTGGTGACTTCTCCTTTGCTTGAGTAATTATAGTTGGAATCCACATCTTATATTTATATCTGCGAGAGAACCAAAGCTTATATTTGTATTACTAAAATATCTTTTGTGTAAATATCAAGTGGATGTTGTACGTTCATATTGTTAGGAGCTTCTTCATAACATGGGTGGTTTAGGTTATTGCGCATCTTAAACTTTCAAGAAGGACTAGCATTCGGCTTATACTGTAGACACGGGTAGCTTGGGCTTGCAATTTTCTGCTTACTGACATCAGTATATGTTTCCACCAGCTAAACTCTCCACCTCTTGATACAGATTCAAAAACTCTAAAAGAAGAGAAGAGGGAAGAGTTATTTGAGAATTTGAAGGCTGATGAATCAATTGGATGGGCTGTTGATGTTATAGACCCAAGAGAGCTGTCAGCCAAAATGCTTAAGAAGTAACTAACGAGACTAAGCACTTAACAAGTATCCATTGTACAAGCTTAACGACATTATGTTTCTCATTATCCGCAGAAGTAAGATAAATCTCAATGAAATATCACACGATTCTGCCATCGGCCTCATCAACAAGGTCTTGAGCATAGGTGTCCTTCTAACTGAGGTAAAATATCTTGAAAAGCATCATCTCACACCTAATAGTTTTATTTGATCTATGAAGGGCCACACTGATAGTTTTATTAAACGCATCTAATCTCTTGACATATGTAATTTTTTAAATTTTCCATTTCTTATGATTCGCTTCGTTTCGCAGTTATTTTATCATTTTTGTTTAGATTTATTGTTCAGTTTCCAACTTAGTGAGGAGAAAATGAAAACCAAGTTCGCTCTTAGTCCTTTGATTTGCTGTTCAACTATCATGCTGGAGAGTATATACCTTTACTGATGCAGAGAGCCAATATATATAATTTACAAATAAAACTATCAATGGAAAATTTTGGGTTGTATTTTGAGTGCTTTCACTTTAGGTGCCAAAGTTCTTCCAAATGATGCTCTAAAATGAAAAACATTATGTAAGATTTTCAGTTTTTTATGGCATATGAAATGAGGCAGGTTTAGGCGCAAGGGCTTGTGGACAAGGCAAAACGTTAACATCAGATTTGGTCTTCCTGTTGAATATCTTAATACTATCGTGCATTGTAGAGATGGAATGTGCTTTCCAAAGCTGTGACATCATTTATTTAAATGTTTAACACCATTAAGAAGTATTATAAGACTCTAATTTTGACTAGTCCCTAAACATGCTAGAGAGGAAATCTTACATTTACACTCAAAACCAATAGGAATGACTTCAAAAGGATCGTGATAGAACTCGTCACTATATAAGATTTGTGCAATATACTAACAATTTTCAAATTGTCTTAAGTGAAATCCCATTTGAACATCAGTCCAGATCAGGGCTACTAAATAGCATTTAAATATGTGGCTAATTCAAAAAAAGTTCTTACATTGAATGAATTTGGAAGGTGGTATGAATGGTATCGTAAAAGGATCATATAAGATTCAGAATATCTCCATATAAACATGTTTTTTACCGTGCCTTTGGTTCATTAATACCCATATTATACTAGTGTTCTTACTATCGGTACAGGTTTATTTGGACACTGTTGGTGATGCTGAGAAGTATAGGCTAAAACTTTCCGAAAGATTTCCTAATATCATGTTTGTGGTTTCAAAGAAAGCTGACAGTCTTTATCCAGTTGTAAGTGGTGCAAGCATTGTTGCAAAGGTAATTAATTATGTCTTGTGTTTAAAGAACAAAACCATGAAGTATGAGCATGTTTAACCGTCAGTAATGGGTCATGTTCCCAATCCTGCTACATTGATTGAAGTATTTGTTGGACACATCATGTCTTTCAGGTAACAAGGGATAGAGCTTTGCGAGATTGGGCGCTAGATGAAACTGCAGAGGATCTGCACAGAAATTTTGGGTCTGGGTACCCGGCAGGTAAACTTCTTTCTTCCACATCTTGTATCTTTCTTTCTTTTT